AGTTGTATCTGTCGTGTATCTTTCTTGGCTCGATATGAGTCCGTTTATAGCTGTAGCCATCCTGTCCCAGCCGGCAGGGGGTCGCACGGGTTCATGACCTTTACGTTTCCGGCGTTTGTACATTTCTGTTGTACCAGCGCTGCTGCTAATTTGTCGTAGGTTGCGCATATGGCCCTGCATGTGCCGTACGCGCGGCGTTTTCTTTGCTTTTGTATTTGCTGTTTCTCCCTGCTTGGGGGAGTTGTCGTGAGAGAGAAACAGAGTGAAATGGAAGAAAGAAGTCGTTTGGAGTTTGTCGTAGAACTACTAGAAATAGCATAAGCGTGATTCCGCCACGCAGTTCATATTCGGAACAGATGGTAGCAGAGGATGGTTCGAACAATATTTGAAATTAGCAGTTTGTAAGTCGAAAATGTCCGAGCGTACGAGTAGCGATGTCGAGGAGAGCAGCTCGATCAGCCCACACGAAGCGGAGGTGGAACAGGACCCACCGGAAAGCAAGAAGCATACGGCTTCCAGCGGTGTACCTCCTGGCAAGTCGATTGTACCACCTGAAAATGTCGAAGGCCATTTGATGCAATTGAAAAGCAAAAAACAAAAAGCCAAAAGAGAATTTACAAATACCCGACGAGGGTTGTTGGTTATAATGCGAGAGGGCGGTACGATGGAAGCGGCGGACCAGCAGCTCTGGTATCTTGAGAATGTCGAGCAAGAAATATTTGCATTGCTGACCGACATGGAGGAACTGTACTTGGGAGCTAATAATATCAAAGCCGTATCGAAGGTACACGACGAGATGGAAGACTTAAATCAAGAAATGAGAGCGACGACTGATCGCTTCGACCAGTTCGCGAGCCAGCTCGAGTCGCAGGTTAAAAAAGAGCCTGCACCTGCAGCGGGCCAGAACTCTGTGGAAAGGACGAGCAGTAGTACTAGTAATACTAATAGTCTGGATGCCACAGCCCAGCCTTTCATGCCAAGTGTGACCCAGTCTCAGGAAGAAAAGGCCACTCCAGCTGACTCAGATAGTCAGCAAGCACTGGAGTCCGATCCTAGCAGTACTGGTATCAGGAGAGGTGTTACTGTTAGTGCAGCAGCTGAGACTGTACACCAGGAACAGTGGCAACCTGGTCAACTAAGTAAGCAGTTAGATCCTGCACTGAGTACTACTGCCAGCCAGTCATCAGTGACCCAGACTAGCCAGACCGGAGCTGTCACTGCTAGCTCATCAGTCAGTATGACCACCAGCAGCACAGGGGATGGAACCAGTCCACGTCATGTACCTGCCCCAGTAAGTGCACCACTGTACACTCAGGCACATACCGGAATATCCAGCAGTACAGATACAAGGAGCAGTAGTGCAAGGGTAGCACTCAGTACTACTAGTAGTAGACCAGCTCTGCCAGCAGTGCGCATGTCCGCAGTAGCGCAGCCGGCACTACCAGCACCACCACCACAGCCACCACAATCGGCAAGGGCAGCTGTCGGCCAGGACCTGTGGAGGCAGCTTAAGCGAGTATCCATTCCAGTATTCCGTGGGGACAAGAAGCAGTTCCCAAGCTGGAAAGCAGCATTTCTGGCATGCATTGATCAAGCTCCGCTGACAGCCGAATACAAAATGCTGCAGCTGCGGGAGTACCTGGCAGGCGACGCATTGAGAGCAGTAGAGAATCTGGGCCACTCTGCCGCTGCATATGAAGCTGCCAAGAACCGTTTGGAGAGAAAGTTCGGCACAAGTCGGCGACAGGTGAGCCTGTACCTCGAGGAGCTGGACAGATTCCGACCCATCCGTCCAGAATCAGCAAAAGACGTAGAACGATTTGCGGACCTACTTGACGTGGCAGTCATCAATCTGAAGGATATGCAGCGGACTGAGGAGCTGGGCAACGGTTCCCTGTATGCCAAGCTGTTGTCTAAAATGACGGAAGCCATGGTAGTCAACTATCAACGCTGGCTCTACGAAAACCACGAACCCGAGAATGTGGAAACCCTGCTGACCTGGGTAAATCGTGAGGCAGAATTCGCAGTCATAGCTGCCGAGTCAGTCCGGGGAGTGACCTCGCAAACCCGTCAACAGGAGTCCAGCACTGCACGGCCAAGGGACGTGAGCAGCCATGGACGAGGAGCAGATCGGCGTACCTCGCATCACACCTTCGTGAGCTCAAGCACTAGTGGCGACCTGCCGAGCCGCAACCGCTCTTGTCCAGCATGTGGCCAGGGTCATCCAGTGTGGCGATGCCCAACATTTCAATCGCAAAGTGTCACAAGGCGTTGGGCCACAGCACGAGGAGCCGCATTGTGCTACAGGTGTTTAGGCAGCGGGCATAGTGGGTCGAACTGCACACGCAGCCGCACCTGTGGGATCGACGGCTGCACGGAAACGCACAACCGCCTGCTCCACTCATCAAACAGTGACACCAGCATGGACCCTGCGGCGAGGAAACCAGCTGGAGCTCAGAGCAGTAACAACCAGGGTATGGCAAAGCCAAGAGCAGCACCCAGTCAACCAGACAGGTCAGGCCAGATGTCTGGGCCTCCCTCATCCTTCAGGAACACGGAAGGGGAGTCAGTGTCCGAAACCAGTGCGCATGCCAGAACGCATCACGGCCAGCAAGTTGAGCCACAGACAGCCCTGCGGACAGTGCCGGTGACCTTGGTAAACGGCAACCGCAAGATTGCGGTGAATGCCCTACTTGATGACGGCAGCACCGTGTCCTACATGAACAGTAGCATCGCAGCTGAACTGGGTCTGGCAGGAGAACAAAAGAGTATTACGGTGTCTGTCCTCAACGGAGCAGCGACAACGTTCAACACCGTCTCAGTGAACTGTCAAATCAGCAGCAGCGACGGAAGTGCCAGGTATGACTTCACGGCATGGACAACCAACAATGTGACCGCATCACTCAAGGCAATTGACTGGAACAATCAGCGAGATCGGTGGCAGCACTTGAGAGAGGTCCCATTCCCTCCTCTCAATGGAACAAAACACATCGACATACTCATCGGAGTCGACCATCCGTACCTACATGCATCGCTAGACGAGATTGCAGGAGGTCCAGGAGAACCTGTTGCACGAAGAACTCCACTAGGCTGGACTTGTGTCGGGCTCGTCAATCCCGACGCCACAGCCATCACATCACTGAACGGTCACAGTACGACAACCGCCAGTCTCGAGCAGCTCAACCAGGTCGTGCAGCGGTTCTGGGAGATCGATCAGAGCGGCACCCAGCTACGCAGCCACGTGCAGTTGACACCAGCCGAGCAGCAGGCCACAGACCGCGTCGCAACATCGCTGATTGGCACTAGCAGCGGGCGCTACGAGATCCAGCTGCCATGGAACGCCAGGAAAGTAGAGCTCAGAAACAACTACGCTATGGCACTGCGCCGACTCAGCAGCACAGAGAAGCGACTGCAGCACAGCAGCGAAGTAGCAGCAGCATACAGCCAAGCCATCGATGATTACGTGCACAAGGGCTATGTAGAGCAAGTGCAAGCAGCGGACATCGCCAATTCCGGTTGGTTCCTGCCACATTTCCCCATTGTGCGTATGGACAAGAGTACGACGAAGGTACGCATGGTGTTTGATGCTGCTGCACATTATCAGGGCATTTCTTTGAACGACGCCATCTTGCCTGGTCCGAAGCTTCAGAGAGAGCTATTTGACGTGCTGCTACGATTCCGTCGAAACTCAGTAGCCCTGGTCTGTGATGTCAAAGAGATGTACTTGCAAATCGAAATACACCCGGACGATCGCAAGCACCTCCGGTTTCTCTGGCGTACACAAGACGAGGTCAACGTGTACCAATTCAATCGACTGGTGTTTGGACTCAACGTTTCACCATTCATCGCACACTACGTCATCCAGAACCATGCGCGGCAACATGCAGTGACGCACCCTCGAGGCGCCGAAGCAGTTCTGGAGTCAACCTACATGGATGACACACTGGATTCAGTGGAGAGTGACGAGAAAGCAGTTAAACTCTATCACCAGCTATCGTTTGTGTGGAGCACCGCCGGGATGAAAGCCAGAAAGTGGCTGAGCAACTCGCCAACAGTCCTGCAGAGCGTTCCGCAGGAAGACCGGCAATCATCAATCGACTTGTCAGGAGAGCTACCAACAACCAAGACGCTTGGTGTACAGTGGCGGCCTGACAGTGACCAGTTTGGCTTTACATTCTCGAAGCCAGCAGACAACAACATCACGAAGCGCCTAGTGGTGCGACACATCGCTACAGTGTTCGACCCATTAGGATTCCTAGCACCATTCGTTGTGCGTGGGAAAATCTGCATCCAGGAAATGTGGGTAGCCGGTCTGGATTGGGATACCCCAGCGCCAGAGGCAATAGCGGGTAAGGCTCGAGCTTGGTTGAACGAACTCTGCGACACAGATGCCATCCAGATACCGCGCTGTCTCTACCCGAATAGTGAAGCCCCGGACAAGGTACTGCACGTCTTCACTGATGCATCAACGCTAGCCTACGGAACAGTTTGTTACGCAGTGTCAACCCTTGCAGATGGACAGGTCTGTGTTCGTATGGTTGCTGCAAAGACACACGTCGCACCGCTCAAGACCATCAGCGTACCCCGTCTTGAGCTGATGGGAGCCATGCTCGGCCTCCAGTTAGCACAGTCTACAGCTGAGGCACTCAAGATTCCGAAGTCAGCAGTTGTCTATTGGAGTGATAGCGTGGATGTCCTCTGCTGGATTCGCAACCCCAGTCGCATCCACAAGCCATTTGTCGCGCATCGTATCGGGGAGATACAGCTGGCAACGCAACCAGAACAGTGGCGCTACGTGCCAACGAAGTGCAACCCAGCAGACCTCGCGTCCCGTGGAACCTCAGTAACCAGCCTCATCACCAGCCAGCTGTGGTGGGAGGGACCGCAATTTCTGCAGCAAGAGCAATCGACGTGGCCACCAGCACCGGCACAGCTTTCATTGACGGACAATGCGAAGCAAGAAGTGAAGAAGGACCATCGGGCTACGGCATCACAGAGCCAACAACAGCAGACATTCACAGGCAGCATCACTGCCGCCGACTTGGGACGCTTGGACCCGTCTCGCTATTCCGAGTTTAATCGACTCCTACACGTGACAGCCTGGGTGTTCCGGTTTATCCAGAATTGTCGCACACCGGCCAGCAAGTTAGTGACGTCCACGCTGACGGCAGATGAGCTGAAGGACGCAAGAACGTACCACTGCAGAACAGCACAGCAACAAGCGCTTGAGTACAACACCGTGAGGCAGAAGAACTCACTGCCCAAGGCCAGCAGTCTGAGGCAGTTCCAGCCGTTCATCGATGCGGACGGGTTGATGCGGGTTGGTGGTCGTCTTCAACATGCCGAATTTCTATCGTTCGACCAGCAGTGCCCGATAATACTGCCAAAGGGACACCGAATCACGCAACTCATCATCAAGTCGTACCATGATCGCGGGAATCATACGTGCGGCGTCAATCACATGCTATCGGAGCTATCAAATCAGTACTGGTTGCTCGGTGGGCGTGACGAGATTCGTTCCTGTGAGTCCAACTGTGCCAGATGCAAGCTACGAAAAGCATCACCAGCAGAACAGGTAATGGCTCCCTTGCCGAAGGTACGAGTCAGCCTGCCGCTACGAGCCTTCGCACGAGTCGCAGTGGACTACGCTGGGCCATTTACAACAAAGCAAGGACGAGGCAAGACCCGAGCCAAGAGGTACCTCTGTCTGTTCGCTTGCCATCTGACACGTGCCGTTCACTTGGAGCTAGCGTACGGCCTCGACGTGGACTCGTTCCTCCAAGCGTATCATCGCTTCACCAACCGGAGAGGAACGCCAGTGGAAGTCACATCCGACAATGGAACAAACTTTGTGGGCGCCAACAATGAGCTCCGTGAGTTGGCAGAGGCGCTAGACGTCGACAAGCTCCAGCGAAGCATGGCGCAAGAAGGCACTCGTTGGCACTTCAACCCACCTAGTGGACCGCACTTTGGTGGCGCACACGAAGCACTGATCAAGGTGGCGAAACGAGCTTTGTCTGCCACACTCAGCAACCGCGATACGACTGACGAGGAGTTGTACACCGCCATTACCGGTGCTGAAGCGCTGATGAACTCCCGCCCATTGGGATACCAGTCAGCCGACCCACGTGATCCGTTACCGCTAACACCGAACCATTTCTTGCATGGGCAGCAGGGCATGCCATTCGTCCCAGCAGGCACTGACGAGACGCAATGGACACTCAAACAGCGATGGCGGATGGTCCAGGACATCGTACTTCAATTCTGGCGCCGCTGGATGAAGGAAATTGTGCCAGAGCTGAACCGTCGCAAGAAGTGGACTCAGACCAAGCCAGATCTCACCGTCGGAGATGTTGTGCTAGTCGTGTCACCAGACACAGCACGAGGAGAGTGGCCACTAGCAAGAGTGGCGGAAGTGTACCCAGGCAGTGATGGGCATGTTCGAGTCGTGAAGATCAAGGTCCGAGGGAAGTATCTGACACGGCCTATCACTCGACTGTGCCGTATTGACGCGGAGTGAGCAGTAAGAGAATTAAGTCAAAGTGTGTATGAATATTCGACAACGCATTGCTCGTTTGCTCGTTATGTTCGGAGTGTTTTTTCATTATTGTTTGTGGTTATCATAGTGCAGTTTAGCCTATGCACCCGTTTGCATGTTGTCAAGCAGTATGCTATTTTGATTCGCGTAGTGCATGAGTTAGTTGCTATTTTATTTATTGATGCTATCGTTGAGCTGGCATGTTGCGCTTTAAGATCAATCCCAGCAGCAAGCAGTATTGGATTGAAGAAGGGGAGAGATGTTCAGGACTCGCCTTCACTACTATGCAATATTTGCCATTATGCCAGATTACGCTGGCACTTGCAGTGCACTAATTATTTCTTGTTTCTATATGCTTGAGTTGTATCTGTCGTGTATCTTTCTTGGCTCGATATGAGTCCGTTTATAGCTGTAGCCATCCTGTCCCAGCCGGCAGGGGGTCGCACGGGTTCATGACCTTTACGTTTCCGGCGTTTGTACATTTCTGTTGTACCAGCGCTGCTGCTAATTTGTCGTAGGTTGCGCATATGGCCCTGCATGTGCCGTACGCGCGGCGTTTTCTTTGCTTTTGTATTTGCTGTTTCTCCCTGCTTGGGGGAGTTGTCGTGAGAGAGAAACAGAGTGAAATGGAAGAAAGAAGTCGTTTGGAGTTTGTCGTAGAACTACTAGAAATAGCATAAGCGTGATTCCGCCACGCAGTTCATATTCGGAACAGGATGAGAGAGAAAAAACAGGGGATGAGAGAGGGAGAGAGGGAGCGAGTAAGTGCGTGTAAGTGGTGTGTGAGCAGGAAAGAGAATAGCAATAGTAGACAGACTTTGAGTGTGGGCAGGAAGACGAGGGCCGCAGAGGAAGACGTAGCTCGTTCCCTCCTCCCCCCCCCCTTCTCTCTCTCTCTCTCCCTCTTTCTCTCTCTCTCTCTCCTCTCTCTCTTTCCTCTCTCTCTCTCTCTCTCTCTCTCT